ACACCACGTCGTCGTAATTTTTTTATTTTGAAAAAAAAATAAAAAATATAAAAAAAAAACTTTCTTCTACGAGCCATTTTAATTATTTTTTTTTTACTAATTAATAATAACCAAGATGATGATGATGATGATGATGATAATGATGATGATGATGATAATGATGATAATATTAGGAGTCGTATTTAAATTTTTTTTTTTTTTTTTTTATGAAACGACTTCCATTCTCGGTTATTTTTTATTTTTATTCGAGTTTTTACTTTTTTTTTTTTTATAAAAAAAAAATAAAAAGAAAATTTTTTAATTATTCAACGTTTTCAAATCCCCTCCCCTTTCCCATCCCATCCCATACCCCTCCCCTCTTCCCTCTAACCCCCCCCCCGCTACGAAAAAAAACGAAGACGACGATCGAACACGTGAATAATGAATTTTTTCTTTTTTAAAAGTTTAAAAAAACGACAACAAAAAGTAATTATTAATAATAATAATAATAATAATAATATAATCGAATCGTAAATCGATTAATCGATTAATCGATAAATGAAAGATGATCTTCGATCTGCATTTAATTTAAAAATTCTATTTTTTTTTTGGGGGGGGGGATTTTAGAATATATAAAATTACATACGTTTCGGGTAGCGATTAAAAAAATGGCGAGCGCGGGCGTGCGACGTGGAATTAGAAAATCTGGGAGGTGGGTACGAGGAAAAGGAGGAGGAGGAGGAAGCAGGAAGAGGAAGGAGGAAGGGGAAATTAAAACGTTCTCACGATAGAGAGAGAGAGAGAGAGAGAGAGAGAAAAACGAGGAAAAGATTTTTTTTTTTTTTTTGTAAAGGGTGGCAGGGATTTTTTTTTTTTCGGATATATAAACCCTCGACTTCCTACGGTCCTGATATCTTTAAATAGAACATACTGTCGATGCATTGTAGTTGTACCATTAAGTTACAACTGATCAAAGGTAAGATATGAAAAGAGAATCTATCTACCATCCATCTACCCTTCATTCGTTGATTTTTATCAGAAAAAAAAAAAAAATACACAGACGGATACGACACGTTCGTTTCTCAATACACACACACACACACACATCATGATGGTTATTTGTGCATGCGATATGCCGTTAATTGAGGTTTCCACGTTGTGTGTGTGTGTGCATGTGCATGTGCGTTTGCGTATTTGCGGGTTTCGACATACAAACAACAACAACAACAACAACAACATAGTTCTCCCTCTCTTCTCTCCCCTTCTCCCTCCTCCTCCCCCCGACTGTTGTCTAATAATATACATCTTATTCACCCGAAAATCATCTATTTTGTATTTCCTCTCCTTTTTTTTTTTTTTTATCAATATGTTATCTGGAACTATTCGGAATTACAAAAAAAAAAAAAAAAAACAAGCTTACGATTTTAGAATTATTACCGTGTTTAAAAAATATTTTTCCAGGCTATAAATTTTGTTTGTTGTTGTTGTTTGTTGTTTTTTCCTTCATGGATTTTTAAAAACAATTTTTTTATAGTTTTTAATTTCCACTACTACTACTACTACTACTACCTATCCTTCTTGTTAATATAAAAAAAAAAATGAATTGACGATGATGATGATGATGATTACGATTACGATTATAGTTATAATAATAATAATAATAATAATAATAATAATAATAATAATAATAATAATAATAATAATAATAATTCCAAATAAAAATTCCCGTGTTTATTATTATTATTATTTTTTACATTTTTTTTTCTTTTTTTTTTTTTTTTTTTTCTTTTCTCTCTCTAGTCAATCAATAATAACGGATAATAAATAATAATAATAAAATTTCCCTTACAAATTATTATCATCATCATCATTATTATTATTATTATTATTATTTTGTTTTTATTTTCAAATCTTTTTACTACAATCCTCGTCGTGTTTGTTATTGTTGCCATTATTATTATTATTAATAAATAATTGGGAAAAAAAACAAAAGAAAAACAAAACAGGGGTGATATGAAAATCCGCCATTTTGAAAATGAATAAAAAATAACTAATGATGATGATGATGATGATGATGATAATTGCGTGTATTTGTGTTTTCGATATATACAATATGCATGAATTCATTCACGTTCGTTGGGTTAAATTAAATTGATGTATTAAAAACACACACACACACACACACACACACACTTTTCGTTTTCTTTTATCATTATTATTATTATTATCATTATTATTATTATTATTATCATTATTATTATTATTATTATTATCATTATTATTATTATTAGTAGTAATGTTTTCAATTGGCCGGTGGTAATTACCGACAAAAAAAGATAGAATTAGGACCGTGAAAAAGTGAGTGACGTTTCGCGTAAGCGTAAAATAAAAAAAAAACAGGATGTGAAAGAAAATAATAATAATAATAATAATTTCGTTCGGGAGCCGCCATATTGTTTTTGTTGTTTTAGCTCTTGTCGTAAATGTAAAAAAAAAATTTATTATTATTATTAATATTTATAAAATTTAAGATGGAGTTTTGAAATCTCTTTTAGAATATGAAAGGAAAGGAAGAGAGAGAGAGAGAAAGGTGAGACAGAGAGAGAGAGAGAAAGGTGAGACAGAGAGAGAGAGAAAATCACAGATTGTTAAGCTCAATGAAAAATATGCAGCTTGCACACAAACATTCGCGTTACGCGAGGGTTTCTAAAAAAATTATATATATATACGCGGTGGTGACGGTGGTGGTGGTGGTAACGGTGGTGCGCGCATGTACGTACACGTATAGGCGACAGGGGGTTGGAAATAGTCAAAGGGGTGGTACAAATCGATGAAAAATAAAAGATAATCGGGTAAACACTTAAACAAATGTGTGAATGTCTGGTATTAAATCCCCCTTTTTTTCTTTTCCTTTTTTTGTTAAACTCTCTTATAACGTTTAGTTTCTTTCCCGAGGGTTGAGTTTTTTGTTGTTTAAAAGGGATGAAAAACCATCATCCGACCATTTTCTTTTTTTCTCCCTCTCTCTCTCCCTCTTTTCATTTTAATTTGTTTCTCTTGTTCTCTCTGCATCATTATAACGACGACAACAAAACACACACACACACACACATAAAAAATCCCATTCGTTATATTTTTATCCCGTTTTGTCCCGTTTTCCCCTCCTCCCCCCACCTTCATTTGTGTGTGCGAATCGATCGAGGATTCGTTTAATAATAATAATAAACAACAAACACGCTATACAAAATTGTAACCTACAACGGATATTTGTAAAATTAAAAAAAGGAAAATATTTTTTTCCGACGTGGAAAATACACAAATGTTACCGCGACGGACAAATGTAATAATAATAATAATAATAATAATAATAATAATAATAAAATCGAGTCCTAGGTTTCAGGCACGCACACGCACACGCACACGTTAATAAATCAAAATGTAAATGGACTCAACGAAATCGAGAATGAGGATGACTAAAAAAACTAAAGCAGACGATATGACTACTACTACTACTCCTACGGGGGAAGGAAAACGAATATAATAAGAAAAACAGGTACGGAGCAGGTTGTTGTACATCTTGATTTTCAAATAGATACAACAACCGCTCAACCGCTAAAAAAAAGAAAAAAAAACCGGAATAAAAAAACAAACGAGTCGATTCAAATTATTATTACTATCATTATTATTATTATTATTATTATTTAACCAAGTCAATTTCGTTTTCTTAAGTCATTTGTTTTAAATGTAATGATATGAATAAATAATTTAAAAGTGAGAGCTTTATTTTAAATGAGAGAGAGAGAGAGAGAGACAAAGAGAGAGAGAGAGAGAGAGATACCAGAAAACCTGTTTGATAAAAATATGTTTTACCCGACATTAAAACTTTGTGCCTCGACAATAAAAAAAAATTAATTATAATAATAATAATGATGGTAATTTCGACGCCGACAAAACAAACAAACAAACAAAAATTTTATCCCTTAAAAAAAAGCGAAATTCCAATCCGATTCTGAAAACAAACAAACAAACGCAAACGCAAACGCATAATCGTGACTCCTTTAAAACTTTCTAATTTCCTGGATGGGCCACGACCGAGTACCACTAGATTCCTCTCTCTCTCTCTCTCTCTCTCTCTCAATATTACCCCCATAAACAATTCATCCATTGTTCCTTTCTTTTCCTCCATTTTTTTACTTCTTTAAAAAGAAAGAGAGGAAATAGAGAAAAAGAGAGAAAGAGAGAGAGAGAGAGAGAAACAGAAATGAATTTTTGTTAAAAAGGCAGATAATTAATTTATTTACCTGACGTTTTTTGTGATATTAATAATAATAATAATATTTTTTTTCCTTTTTTTTTTTTTATAAATTTAAACGGTAGCCACAGCCACTGCTGCCACTACAACGACTACCATTTACCGGAACATAATCATTTATCACGCACAAACACTACACGATAATAATAATAATAATAAAACACCGATCGCTTTGTAAACGAATATTATTAATTCGGGGTAAAAAAAAAAAATATTTCGAACGTGTTCGACGCGGAACGTTTTAAAATGGCTTCTTTCCGAAACGAAAAGGAAGGAAAAACGTTCGAAGAAGGCGGTGAACGACTGCGATCCCCTCAAAAAAAAAAAAAAAAAATGTTTTTTTTTCCTTCCATTCTTTCTTTCTTTCTTTCTTTTCATTTTTTAAAAACTTTTTATTATTTTTGACCAGATAACGACAAGAAAAGAAAAACTTAATAATAATAATAATAATAATCGTTATCGTATTTTCATTCGAGAACAATAACTCGAACTCGAAACTAATTTTTTTTTTTTTTTTTTGTTTTCTTTTCGACACTATCAATGTATTTTTTCTTTCTTTATTATTATTATTATTATTTTTTGTTTCTGTTGTTGTTGTTGTTGTTCTTATCATCAACGTCATCGTCATAATCATTATTATCATTATTATTATTATTCGCTCACGTTGTCGTTGTATAAAAAATTAATTTAACTCATTATGTTTTTTATTTCAATTGAAATTTAATATCCCTCATTATTATTATTATTATTATTATTATTATTATTTTCGTATAAACACATAACGACGACAACTTATTCGATTCGACCTTGTTTGCGGTTGTTGTATTATACGTTCGAAAATAAAAAAAAATAAAACAAACAAACAAACAAAAAAATAAAAATTTTCCCCGATTGTTTCGAAACAAACACTTATTAAGAGACAGAGAGAGAGAGAGAGAGAGAAATAAGAAAAAGAAGAAGAAAAAAACAATGAAACAATGGGCCTTTTACCCCGCGAACAAGAGAATAAATCTTATTATTATTATTAAATGTTAATTTCTAGTTACACGATTATTTTGTAATCGTTAAAACATAATAATAATAATAATAATAATTGTGCGTGTGCGTGTGCGTGCGCGCGTTTTTTTTTTCGGAATCAATTCGTTAAAAAAAAATAATAAATTCGAATAATGGCTTACCGTGACTAGCAGCGGCATAAGGCGTGTGCATGCTTTGATGGTAATATCTAGCAGCGGCAGCGGCTCTATGACCCTGTGCGTCACCCGACGATAGTCCTCCGTGATGGTGGGCGAAAAAATTGTTCATGTGTTCGACAACGGCCGAAGACATTTCACCGTGAACCCCGTCAACAATACCTAAACTATTTTGTCTCACTTCACTATTCAATATTCCGGACGATGTTGTTTGGTTCGGATCTATTATCCCGCTGCTCATGCTCTGACCCCCTAAATTAGGACTACCCGTTTGATGTAGGTTCAGCCTGGGGGATTCATACCACCTGTGTGAGTTCACGCTGTCCGTCGCGGTCATATCCATTTTATAACTTCACTCCGTCATCATCATCATCATCATCATCATTATTCTCCCATTCCGATTCACGGATTTTTCTCTTTTTATTTTTCTCTTTCTTTTTGCTTAACCGGAAACAAATCGAAAGAAACGAAAAACAATTTACAAAAAAACACTTAAAACAAACTTTATTATTATTATTATTATTATTGATATTAATAATAATAATAATTAAAATTTTCTATCGTCGTCTCGATTTCCGAACCGTTCGATTCTGCAACAGAAAAAAAAAACAAAAAGTTAATGCAAAAATTTATTTTGATGATAATAATAATATTTATATATTATATTGATTACTGATAAGGATTATCGATAGTGTGACCTTGAATATTATTACTTATTTATTTATTTATTTTTTTATTAACAAAAACAAAATTTAATAAATAAATATATAAATTTGATTTGTTTTCGTCGTCATCATCACGGCCATTATCATTATCATTATCATTATCATTATTATGTTAAAAAAAGGGGGGGGGGAAACTTAATGCATGGATATACGTATGTATTTATTTATTTATTTTTTAATAGCATTACATAAAAATAAATAAATAAATAAAAATTACAGTAATAAAAATATATATGTAATATCTGTAGGTAGATAATACCACCTAACATGGATAAAATTAATACGCCCAGGTAAAATTTTTTATCGTTAAAGAGAGAGAGAGAGAGAGTGCGTGTGAGAGTGAGAGAGAGTGAGAGAGAGAGAGACAAAAAATTTAATATATACGCGTATTCGTAACGTTGGTCACCAAATACAACATAAAAAATAAAACGTGGATTTTTTTCGACAACCCCCCTCAATTCCTTTCACGTCCCCCATAACTCTCTCTCTCTCTTTTCCCAATTCGTATATCGATAAAGTAATTTTTACGTCGTTATAATGATAATGATAATTAATAACAATAACAATAATAATAATAATGTCATTTGAAAATATGTATGTATATTCATTTATAAATAAATCAAAGAAAAATGACGCGGAACATTACGATCAAATCGATCATTAGTTCTTTTTATAATTATAAAATCGTGTAATTATTATTTAAAAATCTTTATTAATAATCACGAAACAATCGGGGGGGAGGGAGGAAAAATTTAATTTTTTTTATGATGATTACCCCCGTCGTTTGTTACAACTCGTAAATTCAATTCATTTAATAATGATCCTCCCCTCCCCCCATTTTTTTAAAATGAATCGTTATTTAAATATTAAAACAACGTTAATAAAACTTTAAAAAATTTATTAATCGTGCGTGCAAGGGGGGGGTGCGAGTTTTCCTTACGTCGAATTTAATTTGTTAACCTTTTAAATAATTACGCACAAATAAAATTTGTTTCCCCCCTCTTCCTCATACTGTTATTATTATTATTATTTCGTTCGACGTGATGTTAAAACAAATAGTAATAATAATAATAGAAAATCGAGTTATTCCGAGAGTGGAAGGAAGTAGTGGTGGTGGTGGTGGGGGATAATAGAGTCCGGAATTACGGACTCGAGCCAAAAGGCTATAAATAATAATAATAATAATAATAATAATAATAACGTTATGTGTAATTATTATTATAATTTCATTAGGGAAAAACTATTTTTTATTAAGACGTTATAAATTTTCTTTTTTTCTTTTAGTTTTTTTTTTTCTCCGAGTTATCCGTCGTATTTATTATTATTATTATTATTATTATTTTTAATCGTTTTATTATTATTATTATTATTATTATTATTTTTAATCGTTTGACAATAAAATCATTAACGTTATTATTATTATTATTATTATTGCTACAAACGCGTCAGAGAAGGAAAAACGTTAGGAGAGAAGAAAAAAAAAATGAGAAAACAATGAGTGCGTGTGCGTGTGCGTGTGTGTGTGTGTGTTTGTGGTAGTCGTTTTAAATAATATGATAATAACCGGGTGTCGTCGTCGTCGTCGTTTGCTTCTTTATTAAAAACAAACAACAACAAACAACAAACGCTAATAAACGATTTATCCGATTTCACGATGGAGAAAATTTTTTAAGAAAAAAAAATAAAACTTTTCGCGGTTATTTCGTTTTACGCGGATTTTCCTACTCCCTCCCTACCTCCCCTCTTTCCCGCCCCCCAAAAAAAATTAGTGATAATAATGATGATGATGATGATGATGATGATGATGATGATGATGATAATAATAATAATAATAATTAATTTAAACGTTTTCGATTTTATAAGAAATCAAGGCTATTAAAGTTCGTTGACTTTTCTTTCCTTTTTTTGCTAAATTATTATAAGGCGTAAGCGTTTATATATATTTGCACCACCGTTACCGTCACCACCACCACCACCACCTCAATACCTTTTAACCCACCCACACTTTTCCTCATGTCCACATTCAATGAAAAAAATAAAAATAAAAAAATAAAAATTTAATAAAAAAAAAAAAAAATTTATGTGCGTGCGACATTGACGAATGTTAATTTCACGATGTGAATTTTAATATTATTATTATTATTATTATTATTATTATTATTTTATCCTTATTTTTCGAAAGTCAAATGCATCGTCCAAGTTTTATCATCATCATTATTATTATTATTATTATTAATAAACGCAACGTTTTTTTTTTTTTTTTTTACGTACGTGCGAGTATAAATTATGTAAAAAAAACCATGAAAAATTTATATATATAAAAAATCATTCGAACCCACGCAGTTATAATAATAATAATAATAATGATAATAATAATAATGGTAAATTAAGAAGCCATCTATAATTTCGTTTCAATATAATAATAATAATAATAATAATAATAATAATAATAATGCGAAATAAATAAATAAATAAACAATCGTTCAAGGATTTTTTGTACTTAAAACACTCGAAAATAATTTTCGAGGTTTTCCCTTTAAAAAAAAATAATAATAATTTTTTTTGATAATGTTCAAAATAATAATAATAATAATAATTTCGATTGTCGTCGATATGAATGTTATCATCATCGATATCTCGATTGTTTTGACTTTCGATAATAATAATAATAATAATAATAATAATAGGAATTTGTTTTTTTTTTAGTGTATATATATTTGTACGGTTATCTGTGAAAATTTACTTTGGGTCATCCTTATGTGCTGTAGTACATTATCGATAAATAATAATAATAATGATGATGATTTTATTGTAAATTAATAAACGATTTTCAGGGCCTTAAAACGACAAACTCCGTGACGAATTTAATAATTTATATAAAATGAAGGAAAAAAAAAAAAAAGAATTTTCTAGAAACTTTTACATTATTTAATTTAAAGAGGGGAAAAATATTTTATGGGTTTCGAAGGGGAGAATAAAAAAAGAGAGGGGGGTAGTGAGGGGGAAAGATAGAGGGAGACAAAGAAAAGTTTTCGAATAATTTTTTTTTGTGGAAAAGTCGAGAAAATTATTAATTTTTCACTTTCGGAAATTATTTTCAACGTAAAAATTTTTTTTTTTCCTCTTTTTTCCACCGCCATTTTGATTTTTTACGAATTCGTATATTAATAAAATAATTTTATATAAAACGCACACGCACAATTACGTCACACATAAAGTCACGTGTTCAGGATTAATCGAATTTAAATTTTTTTTGTTCTCCAGATCTTTTTTTTTTATTTTTCCAGAGCAAACTTTTTAAACCGACAACCGATTCATCAAAAATTTTTTCCACTGTCGTTTTTTTTTTTTTTTTTTTTTAAATCATTAAAATTTATTTGATTGATTGATTGATTGATTGATTGGATTGTTGGTTAGTTGAGTGATTTATCGAAAAATTTTAATCTTATCTTTATAAGTTATTTGTTTTAAATTAATAAAACTATGTCACACACACAAACGCACACATATATATATATATACGATCGAAAATCAAAAACAATCAAACAAACAAACAATCAAACAAATATTTTAGTAAAAATAATAATAATAATAATAATAATAATTTAATTAATTTATAACAAACAACGATCAAATTTAAGGGTGAAACGCCGCGGGTTTCGTACGATAACATTAACAAAATCTCTCTCTCTCTCTCTCTCTTTCTCTCTCACTTTTTCCTCTCTTATTTTCTCCCTCTCTCTCTCTCTTTCTCTCTCACTTTTTCCTCTCTTATTTTCTCTCTCTTTCTCTTCCTTTCTTTTCTCTCTTTCTCTCTCTCTCTCTCATTCTTTTTCTCTCTTTTTTTCTCTCTCTTTCTTTTTTTCTTTCTTTCTCACTTCTCTCTCTCTTTCTTTTTCTTTTCTACTCTCTTTCTTTCTCTTTTTCTTTTCTCTTTTTCTTTTCCCTCTCTCTCTCTCTCTCACACACTTTTCCAGATATTTTTTTTCAACGAAATCAAATCGGGAATATTTTCCATCCTACAAAAGTAAATATTCCAACATACTAACTATCTGTCAGGAATCGATTACGTCATCATCATAATCATTTCAAATATCGATAACAATAAATAAATAAATAAATAAAATAATTGATCGTTGGTAACTCATAATGAAAACATAAAAAAAAAAATCGACGCCATTTTCCCATTTTTTTTTTACAATAAAAATCTCGTAAAATTTTTTTTTCTAAACAATCGATCGATAAATCGAACAGACGAAACGCAACGAAAAAAAAAGGCAAAAACAACAACGACAATCGAGATGGGATAGCAAATGAAAAAAATTATGTAATAAAAAATACCCTCATAATAATGATAATAATAATAATAATGATGATGATGATGATGATGATGATGATAATAATTATAATAATAATAATAATAATAAAAAGAAAAACGGTAAGAAAACGATTGAAAAAAATAAAATAAAAATAAAAAAAAAAGTTTCGTCATTTGTGAAAAAAAAAAAAAAACAATAAGAAACAACAACGAACAACAAACAACGACGACGACAATCAAAACAATGTAAAAATTCTATTATCAGTAAGTTTTAATCAATAGATAAACAAAAATTATATG